TTAAGCATCCGACTCTTGATTTTGGCTCAGCTCATGATCTCACGGCGCACGAGATCGTTCCCCGCATCAGGCTCTGCACTGCATGTGGAATGTGGTTAAGATTCTCTCTCTCTCTCTCTCTCTGCCCCTCTCCCCTGCTTGTGCACTCTCTCTCTCTCTAAAATAAAATAAAATAAATTTTAAATAAAGAAATAAAGTGACTTGGTTTTTTGTTCTTTAAAATCCTAAAACCCTGACAATTTCTTGTGTGACGAGAGATATTTGGCATTTAACATCCTGACACCGAGCTCCTAAATCCCGTGGAATTTCCTGGGTGGTAGGAGCACCTCTTGTTCAAACAGGTGGCTCAGGATGGCCCCCAGGTGGGGGCTGGTCACCAGGAAGACCCTACCTGCCCCTCCAAATCCGAGACCAAACCAAGTGAACAAGCAAGAACTGGAGTGCGTGCACCTGCCGGGAGGGGCCTGGGGGGCTGGCGCCCCGGCGTGAGAGGGGGGCAGGGAGACTGGCAGGTGCGGGAGCTTCTCCGAGACGGGGCCCAGGAACCTCACCCAGGAGGGCAATCATTCAGGGAAGGACCAGCCCCCAGGACGTCTCCGGTGGGGACAAAGCCATAAGGTGGCGGAGGCCGGGGGACAGGCCTGGCGTCAGAAACCTGAAACGGGAACCGTTTCATCTTGGGGCCAAGAAGAGCGTTGCAATCGTCTCACTTCGGGACGCAGCCCCCCCCCCCCCCCCAGGGACAACAGCTATGTGCTCTGGGGAGGCTACGAAACACGGCCCTGGTACAAGTGGGGACGGAACGAACAGCAGGCAGCTTCGAGAAGAGAGCCGGCAGCGGCAGGAAAAGCTGGTATGGGTGACTTCCGTTCGTGTGGCTCCAACCCGCAGCCACTGCAGCCGCGCAGCGACCTCGGCCCCTGTCCAGTCGGAAGAGCCAGAGGGCTGGGCTCAGGCAGCCACGCCCTGGAAAGTGAGCGGAGAATCCAGGAGCTGTGGGCACCTCTGCCCAGTTAGTCACCTGGCCTCGAAGCTCTGCTCATCCAGGGCTCTGTGAAGAAAACAAGGAGGCAGACGCGCCTGGTGGCTCCGTTGGTTAAGCATCCGACTTCGGCTCAGGTCATGGTCACCATCTCTCGGTCCGTGAGTTCGAGCCGTGTTGATGACGCGGAATCTGCTCGGGATTCTGTCTCTCCTCTCTTCCCCTCGCCCACGTGTGCGCTCTCTCTCTCAAATTAATAAACTTAAAAAAATTAAAGGTTTTGTTCATTTTGTGTCAAAAGTCAACCACCATCTGGAAGCAGATGACGTATCATCCGAAGGTCAATGGTAGCCTAACGCTAGGTCACAACATCAACGTCGCTGCGCTCAGCTCACCTCATCACGTGGGCGTTTTATTACCTCCCATCATCACAGGAGGGGGGAGTGCAGTGCGGAGAGAGAAAGACCACATTCACATAACTTTCCTTACCAGATATTATCGTTGCTCTATGCTGTTATTACTTATTGCTGCTAATCTCTTCCTGTGCCTGACTTCTAAGTTACACTTCATTACACGTATTTATGTATAGGGGAAACGGTCTGTATGGAGTTGGCTAATACCCGTGTTTCAGGCTTGTGCGCGGCTCTGGGGACGTATCGTCCGTGGACAGGGGTGACTCCGGAACCACGTGTATAAGCTTATGCGCACAGAGTATTCTTTCTCTTTCACTCTCTCTAAAGCAAACGGGGCAAGATGGAAACCTTTCCTGCGTCTGGGTGAAGAATATACACGTTCCTTCTGCTACTCTTGCAAAGTTTCTGTCGGTTTGAAATTACACGAAAATAAATTACAAAACATCAAAACCACTGGGAAAATGTAATAAAATTTTCAAGGACTGATGGGTTGTGTCAAAAGGACCAGAAGCAAGTATGAGGAGCTACTGGGAGCCCGAGCCGTCCCTCTCAGCTCAGCTCAGTCACTTAAGTAACTGCCTCTTGATTTTGGCTCAGGTCGTGATCTCAGGGTTCATGAGTTCGAGCCCAACGTCAGAGCCTGCTTGGGATTCTCTCTCTGTCACTCTCCAGCTCATGCTCGCTCTCTCGCTCTCTCTCTCTCTGTCTTTCATAAACAAAATTGAAAAAAAAAAAAAGAGAGAGAGAGAGAGAGATCCAGAACAGACCAATCTGCCACCATTTGGAGCATCCATTAAGCTAATATTCTGCCATTAAAATTATTCAAGGGAAGGAAAAGAATGTTTATCCTGTGTTCCCAGGAGGACTGTATTTCATGGGAACCAAATAAATCCACACTTTTCTACCTAATACATGTAGAGGGGACAGTAGACTCCGAAAACCACTGTTTAAACCATGATTGTAATGGTCTGCGTGGCGGTCCCAAAGATTCCAGGTCCTAACCCCTGGAATCTGTAAATTTCACTTCTTTGAAAACAGGGTCTTTGCAGGTGTGATCAACTCCAGGGTCCTGAGATGGAGAGATGGTCCCAGATCATCCGATCACAAGGGTCCTCACAAGAGAGAAGCAGAGAGAGACGTGATACAGGCAGACGAGGAGGCACTGGTGTCGTTGGGAAGCACCGGCTCCGCCAAGAGCTGCAAGGACAGACCCTCCCCCAGGGCTCAGGTTTGGATGTCCCAGCCTCCAGCGCTGTGACGGGATAAGGGTCTGTTGATCGAATTGCTCTGTTTGTGGTCACCTGTGACGGCAGCCCCAGGAAAGTGACGTAACAATAAAACTGACTTGTACGACGACCAGGAGCTGGTGTGGGAGCTGGTCGGTGAGTGTGGTGGGGATCCGAAGGTCGCACGATGTCAGCGTTCAGGGCAGACTCACCGCCTTTGGCTGCGCGGGACAGGAGGGACCAGGCTGCACTGAGCTGGGGCAGGGATCAGCCAGGCACGCTGCGTCCTCTGATCGGATGACGCGGAAGTGTACCACACGGAATGGGGCATTGAGCTAACCATTCATGAGCGGTGAATCCACCAAGCCTTTGGCCATAACTTCCAGAAATGAGAACTGCAGGGGATAGCAGAATAAGCTAAAGGAGCCCAGACATAACCAGGGGCTGCCACAGTCTGCAGACAGCGACTCCGTCCTGCAAACCAGCCAAACCAGCAAGGTGGGAGGGACCACGCCCGACAGAAGGTGTGGAGGCTCACCAGCCTGAGGCCCCTCCACACCTGGCTGCGTGCTTTCACGGGGACAGGCTCTGTCCACTTGGCACAAGCCACCTTCTAAGTCCTCGGTCTCTTCTCCCTCTGAGGTGTTCAGACACCTGTCCCCTTGTGATGGGGGACAGTGGAGCCACCATAGACACTTTTAGAACACGGTGAGGGAGGGCGTGCCTGGGGGCGCGTCCAGCTCTTGATCTCAGCTCAGGTCATGATCTCACAGTTCGTGGGACCTAGCCCCCCGTCGGGCTTTGTGCTGACAGTGCAGAGCCTGCTTGGGATTCTCTCTCTCTCTCCCTCTCTCTCTGGCCCTCTCCTGTTTGTGCTCTCTCTTTCTCTGTGTCAAAATAAATAAACTTGTAACACACACACACACACATACACACACACACACTAAGGGAGGGCCGAATCAGGGATGGCTTTGGCAGGGTGGCTTTTTGGAATACATGTGTGTTACTGGTTTTCAGTAACTCCCAGGTGTACTTAAGTTCTCCCTCGCTGCTCTGGAATAGCTTCCGGAAATACTCCTGCCACCCATTTGGGTGACTTGCCCAGCACTCTGACACGTAGGCATGGGGTCAAAGGTCAGGTCCCCATCTGCCCGTGTCCCATGGACCCCGCACCGAGTGTGTGGGAATGGAGGAATGGACGTTGAGGGGCACCAGGCACCAGTGTGTTGAAATTATTTCATCTACTGGATGCTTTCCAGTCAGGAACACGATGATGCACCACACACAATTTTCGGCGGACAGTAGGATCTATTGGACTGCCTGTTAGTAGCGCACAATCCAAGGTAGTTTCGTGAGCCAAGAGATGTGGGGTGTGAAGCTCAAAGCTCCAGACCATCAATGGCCAGGAATTATAAACCACGCTAACGGAAAAATGGTGATGACCTCGCCGATCTCCCTACAGGAAGATCGTAGGAGGAGCCAAGCACAGAGCATACGATGAATTTACACCGTATTCTGATAGTTTCCTAGACGTGCTATTTGTGGACTCACCAGTCTCTGAGTTGCTAATTTTCTTTTTTGAAATTTCTTATTCTAAAACAGTATCTGCCTGGATATAATTTTAGAATCGTAATGCTGTGTGCATTTTTGTGAAGAGGCTCGGACGCTGTGTTCATCATGCATTGTTCTTAAAGAGGCCCCCTTTTTCGGGGACCTGATGACCAGACACAGCGCGCAGTGCTGGGCACACCAGCTACGAAGGCCATTCTAGGGTGATGAAGACCCCACTCTCCTCCAGGGTTGGAGGAAGATGGATGTGGTTCATGGAGCTGGAGAAGACAGGACACGGGGGCTCCTCTGGGAGCTCAGGACTTCATGGCAGTGCCGGGCGGCCAGGAGGGGCCAGGACAGTGACAGCGTGTCCTAGACGTCAGCCCCTGGCCCACCAGAGGACCGTAAGAGTTGGCACCATAGGCCAGAGCCACACCTTTGGGCAGCCCCGCCCTTCAACCACCTGCAGGGACCCCTGAAACCCACACTGGGATGCTGGAGCGACAGGGTGGCCAGGAGCCTCCCCTCCAGTGGTAGCCGGCGGTTTCTTGCTCAAGCCCAGAGTCTGATCATCCTGCTGTGTTCTGTGAGCGTTGCACATGGAGTTATTTTCTAGGGGTCTTCCTAGCTTTCTTGAGAAGGACCTGAGAGAGAAGCTTCGGTAAATAGTTACTCCACGAGCTCGGCCAGGAGGCCACTGCCATGATCCATCTTCTGCGGAGTCTGGATCGTGGGACCCCTTTCTCTATCCCAGGAGAAAACAGCACTGAACCAAGAGCAGAATAACCTGGCGGCTTCTGGTTTAAAGAAATGGGAAGCAGAAGGCTCTTCCATAAACAAAGGATGAGGAAGAAATTTATTGCTATTGTTGCTATACTGCACGATGTAAACAGCAAGTAAGAAAGACAGACAGCCTCGCGCCAGCTGGCCGGGGGTCAGCGTGTCTGTGATTGGTTCTCCCCTTCGTCCCGCTTGCTTCTGGCTCCGACCGCTCTCACTGCTTACTTTCGTCGTCTTCAAAATTAGCATTTTCTGGGGGGTGCGGGGACAAAGAAACATGAGTATGTCCCACATTCTCTTTTTCTATTTTGAAATTCTGTGTGCTAACAGGTCTTTTGCAATGAATAATATCATAAAGATTAAGCATTTATCAGGCAAAAAAAAAAAAAAAAAAAGGAATGTTCAACGTTATCTTATACAGACTTTTGCGGGTTTTCTTTGGTACCAGTCACAAACTAGGCAAAAGATGTGTCCAGGTTCATGCTAAGAACGTTCATGTGGGCCAGCATGAGCTCAGGGCCGTCCCCGCTGCCACATGCTGTCCATACTCAGCCAGCACCGCAAACAGGAGTCACTGTTTGGCCTTTGCATCAGTAAGAAAAGTGGAGACTCACTACCTTCTGGTGAGATGTTATCTTACATGTTTCAGGAAATCGAGAGTTACCTTGTTACAGGTTAACATCTCTTCTGAGATGTCACAAACAGAAAACTCTGTAACATCTCAGAAGAGTGAGCAGGGAGAGCCTCAGGCGTAATGTCAGAATCATGTCAAATCTCCAGTTTGGGTTCTTGTCATGAGATGCTTGCCTACTGGGCACACGCAGGCACATGCAGATGCTCACAGCACACACAGCAGTTACACGCAGGCACACGTAGGTGCACACAGCACACACACAGGCACATGCAGGTGCACACACACAGGCACATGCAGGGACACGCAGCAGGCACACACATAGGCACACGCAGGTGCACACAGCACCCAACAGGCACACACAGCAGGCACACGCAGGCACACGCAGGTGCACACAGCATGCAGCAGGCACACGCAGCAGGCACACACGCAGGCACACACAGCAGGCACACACGCAGGCACACACAGCAGGCACACACAGGGGCACACAGCACGCAGGAGGCACAGACGCAGGCACACACAGCAGGCACACGCAGGCACACGCAGGTGCACACAGCACGCAGCAGGCACACACACAGGCACACACACATGCACACACGCAGGCACACGCAGGCACACACGCAGGCGCACACAGCACACACACGGGCACACGCAGGCACATCACTGATTGTCCACTCACTTCCCGTCAGCCCCTGGTGCCTCTCAGCTCCCCCAGCCGGGCACCACGGTGTCCTCCCATCAGGGACGCTTGGTGTGACCCACAGCCTCCATGGATGGAGCCTCTCCATGCCGTTAAATACTCCACCTCCACGCGCGCAGCCTACTCCCCTCACACAGCTCGTGCATCTGGCCCACACACAGGAGGCAGGGGTCAAGTAAGAGGTCACCAGCTGCCCCTCGGCCACGGGCTGCCCAGCCGCCAGCGCGGGCCTGTCCGGGGCTGCTGGGAACTGGGAATCTCCGCCCACAAGAAGCCCGGCTCTGCGAGCGCCTGCCGCGTTTAGGTTGGAACCTGTTGTACAGGAGTTCATCATGTCAGGTACCTTCAAAGAACTCGGAAAGTGGGACGCCTGGGGGGCTCAGTCGGTTAAGTGTCCAACTTCGGCTCAGGTCATGATCTCACAGCTTGTGGGTTCGAGCCCCGCGTTGGGCTCTGTGCTGACAGATCAGAGCCTGGAGCCTGGAGCTGCTTCAGATTCTGTGTCTCCCTCTCTCTCTGACCCTCCCCTTCTCACACTATCTCTCTCTCAAAAATAAATAAAACATAAAAAAAAAAAACTCGGAAAGTTATTTGCTCTTAATTTGCAACAGAAACAGACCACAGCACGGGGCCCTGGCCCTCCAACCACTGGCCGGGGCACGCTGTCCCCCCGCTGCCCCCCCTCCCGCCGCCCCAACAGGCCCACCTTGAATCAGACCCAGGAAATTGGGTTTGAAGAAGAGTCCTCTCTGAACTTCCGGGTGGCGCCCACAGCTCTCGGAAGAGCTTCAGAGATTCGGGGAATCCCGAGGTGCTCACCCTGGTCGGCGGTGTCGTATCGAAGCTCCTCGCGGCCATTTTCACGCCCCTCCTCCCTGGCGGCGTCTCCGTCGTCTTCCCCCAGCCTCATGAAGTCCGTCTCCCCCTCGGGAGTGTCCAGCAGAGCCTGGCCGTCCTCCGCTGGCTCCCCGCCGCCTGGGATGCAGCCACGAAGACCCTGTCACGTGGGCTGCAGGCCCGTCTCAGGTGGCCCCTGCTGACAAGGGCGCCCGCCACCCCTCGGGGACCCCCCCAGCCCGCCCGAAGTCACCCAGCCCAGCCTGCATCTGGAGCGCCTGCCCCCTCCTGGCGAGGGGTTCGGGTGGGGCAGCTCTGTCCCCGGGTCCCAGCGCTGACCCGCAACACTTTGATGAAGTCGGGGAGCAGTGCTCTCCGAGGGGAGGGAACACACGGAGACCAGAGAGCTGAGGCCTGACCCCCACGTGCCCGGGGCTGCACCTCCACCCTGACCCCCCAGCCATCGGGACCCCCACACATCAGTGCTGCTGACCCCCAGCCATCAGGACCCCCACACGTCAGTGCCGCTGACCCCCCAGCCATAGGGAACCCCCCAGCCATAGGGACCCCCGCAGCCATAGGGACCCCCAGCCATAGGGACACCCTAGCCATAGGGACCCTGGCAAGTCCGCGCCCCTGAACCCCCNCCCCAGCCATCGGGACCCCCACACATCAGTGCTGCTGACCCCCAGCCATCGGGACCCCCACACGTCAGTGCCGCTGACCCCCCAGCCATAGGGAACCCCCCAGCCATAGGGACACCCCGCAGCCATAGGGACACCCCAGCCATAGGGACCCCCGCAGCCATAGGGACCCCCAGCCATAGGGACACCCTAGCCATAGGGACCCTGGCAAGTCCGCGCCCCTGAACCCCCTACCGTTCAGACCCTGGCACGTTAGTATAATTACACTTAGGCCAGTTTGGGTTTGGGTTTCAATCACTTGCAACGCAAGGACCCTTGCCAGGGGTCACCTTCTCCAACGACCCACGGCGGCGTGGCTACTTGTCAGGAAGACCCCCAGGCCGGTCACAGAGGCCACAACCTCCTCAGGAAGGACTTGCCGCCCCGCTGCTCTCGGATCTGCCCGAGCCCCTGCCCGTGGCCTGTCGCTGACCAAGGGGGTGGCTCCTAACCGCAGGGCTTTCCCGTGGAGCCAGTCGCGTTGTCCTTCCAGCCGGTCGCTGCCTCTGCTCCTTCCCCCCCCCCCCCGGGAGGTTCCGGCCCCTGACAACACCCTGCACATGAAACCAGCCGAGTCTGATCCCCAGGGCCCCGCCGGCCGCCGGCCCACAGAGGGGAGGCGCCCTCCCCCGCACCCCGTACCCTCGGTTCCCGGGGCCTCCTCCTGGCCCGCCCCGTCCGCAGGCAGCTGCTCCTCGGGGAGGGTCGGCGTCCACAGAGCCAGTTCTGTGATTTTGGTGGCCTTCCATTTTGGGGTGACGGCCATCACCGTCACCTCCTCCTCCTCCTCCTCTTCTCCTCTATCCTATTTTAGGTTTAAAAATGTAAAATTACCATGTGAACTCGCTGTGGGATGTTCATAGTGAGGGGCATTCGGGCGTTGTCCCTGGGCGGCTCTGTGGTCGGCCTGACAGCCCGCCGTCCCCGGCGTGATCTGGGCTTGAGGGCGGGTCTGGGGGGCCCCACGCATTCCGAGAACAGCTCCCAGAGCCAACATCCCCACCCTCCTGGAGCAGCTGGGAAGCGGCCCAGACCCGGGGAGCCTTCCCGTACTCTCGGCCACACCGTCCGGCGCTCAGGTCCCTTATGTGTGACAAGGCAGCTCGGCTGTAAGAAAAGGGCAGCCAGGGTCCTAAGATGACCATAAACCATGGAAGGGCTTAGCCATTGAAAGCTCTAGAATCAGGGATTCTGGGGGGGGAATGGAATTCCGCGAAAGCAGAGCGAGAGTCGATCACCTCTAACCGTGGGACCTCTCGTAAGAGCGTGTAATCCCGACACTGGTCAGCGGCCGGCATGTGCACACCCGGCCAAGCCACCAGCTCCTCCCCAGCTTCGCAGCCATCACGAAATTCCAAAGATCTGAGTATCAGCCCACAAGTGTGGAAAGCGTCCCTGTCACAGAGAGGAGCGTGCCTATGACAAAGAGTGGCAGACACCTGCCTACTACTTCCGCGGAGTCACTCAGAGTAGAGGGGTTGGTCTCAAAACTTCTGTGCTCCGTCCCCCACGGCATGTGGCCAGGGGACGTGCCCCAGCATCAGCGGAGGAGCCGTGAAGACGCAGCTCAGAGCGGCTGCACCTGGGCGTCAGGGCGGGGCCGGGTCACCCGAGTCACTCCCAGGCGAGGCCCATGCTGCGGGCCCGGGACGAGCCCGCCGGGTCGTGTCCTGCACGCACCGTGACACTCAGGTTTCTCCGCTTTGTCACAGCCCCAGTCACCGTCCCAGAAAGCATAGGGCGCTTGGACACGGGCTTGTCCCTGGGCAGGAGCAGCCTGGGGGCCCGTGGCTTCATCTCTCCCCCTTAGCGGCATCATGCCCTTCCTGCTTTCCCCTCTGCATCCTGAGGCCCTGACCCCTAAGAACTTCTCCCTGGACCCACGAAAACCCACTACTCTGCTGGTTTAGTGTTTATTGCTTCACAAATCAAAATAACTGTGCAGCCACTCATGAGACCATAAAGGCCAGTTTCGGGGGGCAGTGGGGGCAGGGTAATGAGTTCCACCGACGGGTTCCTCCAGGAAGAAGGTACGAGGCTTCCAGCCCCGGGCGAGCCCAGCAAGCCCTCGCCATGTCACTGTCGTGATCTAACAACACAGCAATTAACTGTGTTCACACTTCTTGACCACGGGGCGGGGGGGAGGGTGGGGCTCTGTGTGGACTTAAATGCAGGGGGCTGTGTCCCGTGGGGGCGACAAATTCCTCTCCTTGCTGGTAGGCACCTCGGCTTCTGGGAGCCCCTCTCGCTCAGATGACCCGACCTGGGATCCAGGTGAAACGATGCTGGGGCGTGGGGAGGGGGCTGTTTTGTAGAAACATGGTCGAACTTCTTGGCATTAACCAGGGAAAACCCAGGTCGTGTTAGCGTTACTGTGAGTACCGGAGACGAACAAATGGACAAAAACGCTGGAGGGGTTTGGGGGGACCGCAGCCACCCGTTCCAGGCATCACCTCTGGAGCCCGATGCCGTCCACAGCCCCCCAACTCGGGGCCAGCCAGCTCCTCCTGACAGAGCTCTGTGCAGTGATACCACTCAGTCCTGGCAATTCGGGTCTAAACCAAAGCCAGCAGAGAAGGAGATGGACGGCGTGAAGGACGCGGACGGCTGGCCCCACTCCCATCCAGCCTGGTCGGGTCCTTGGTCCATGGCCCGGGCCAGCTCTGTCGCCCTCGGATATAGAAATGAGATGCAGTCAGCCACGTACCGTTTCTGTCAGATGGTACTCCCCGTGCTGTTCACATCCGATATCGAACACGTACTTTCCCGGCCCGATGGGCTACGAGCAAAGGGAAAGGGAGAATGTCTCACTCAGTGTTCACCACCACCCAACGCCGAGCGGACGTGCTGCGGAAACGCCCCCTCGCACCCCCCGGAAAACCTGCCCTAAGTCACGTAGCAGGAAGTCCAATGCGGGTCAAAGAAAGCCTTTATGAACTCACAGCTAATGGAATTGCCAAGTATAGGACCTGTCAGTTTGGTACTTAAAGTTTCGTTTTATCTTTATGAAAATCATGAATTTCTTACAAAAATTTCGCCGAGCTGACGCCCACAGGCAAACCAGCTAGAGACAGATGCACTGGTAATACTGCGATCATCTTTACAAACTTAGCGCCAGATTTTTCGACATAAAAATTGGATCAGAAACGAATCGCCTATTTACAACTCTTCTTCCATAACCCATTGTCAACCTGGTATTTTCTTTAAGAATTATTAAGAGGCTCCTGGGTGGCTCAGTCGGTCAAGCATCTGACTTCGGCTCAGGTCATGTTCTCACAGTTCGTGGGTTCGAGCCCTGCGTCGGGCTCTGAGCTGACAGCTCAGAACCTGGAGCCTGTTTCAGATTCTGTGTCTCCCTCTCTCTCTCTCTGCCCCTCCCCTGCTCACGCTCTGTCTTTTTCTCTCAAAAATAAATAAACATTAAAAATTATTTTAAAAAAGAATTATTATAACCTATTTCATCCATGTACTACTGCTAATACTTGGTGTGCTGATACTATCCTTGGCCAAAGGCCATCGCAGGAAACATGTGCGAGGTCACATCTTATATCCACTCTTGACATTTCTCTCGGGGAAGTTGTCAGAAGTGGAATTTCTGGGCAGCAGCACACGCACACACTCACACACATACACTGTGTACATATTTACACACAAAAGATGTAGACGCACATTTCTTTAAATATATTGACCAGAATGAGGCTCCAATAATATCCCTTTCACAGTAGCACTTAAGAGCTCCTTGTCAAACTCTTGTTTTTTTCCTGGGCATTAACATTTTGTTCTATCTTTACTTTTTTTTAACATATAAAAACCGGATCGCATCATGAAGTCACATCTTTAAGCTATCAGTAGGGTTGAATTTTTTTCAACATTTTGTACCATTTAAATCACATTGATGGAAATAAGTGCTATGTATTTATATTAATGTTGCGAATACTCTAACCTATTGGCCGTGTATCTCTTCAATTTTCTTTACAGTGCATTCTAATCAATAGGGGGTTATTTTTATCAACCAGATCTACTGGGTTTTCCTTTCTACTTCTGTATAGAGAGTCCTCTTTCCTCATTTCAAAGATAATAAACATTCGCCTATTTTTTTTCTATCTGTGACTTTGTTCATGCCTAAACCTTTCTTCCTATTCTCACGTGTCTTCATCCAATGCTGAAGGAGGAACCCTGATCCCCCCCCCCCCCGCCCCCGAAGGTTATCAAGTCCTCCTGGGACCATTTTTTCACTTCTCTCCATCAGGTCCTCACGGACTTGAAAATGACGCCCTTTTCAAGTTACCGTCTGCACTTGAATCTGCCCCTCGACTCTAATCCACGTCACTGATCTCTATTTCTCCATCCTGCTATCTCGGTTTTATTTACCACAGATTTAAATTTGTTTTAACAATTTGCCGGCGAGGATTTGAACAGGTCATTCTCTGAGGAAAAGTCAAACCAGTAGCAAAAGTGTGTAAGGATGCTGGACCTCACTAGGAATCGGGGAAAAGCGCGTTAAAACAACGCGATAGTATTTTTTTACCCATCGGGTTTGCAAAGAAGTTAAAGGCTGCTGTTGGCAGGAGTGCAAACTGGCACAGCTTGCCAGGGAAGTTGCCAGCACTGATCACAATTTAAAATGCCAATATTTGTAAACTCAGCGATTGCGGGGTCTGACCTACACAGATATCCCCAAATGCGCAAACGTGTATGTTTTCGTGTCCTGATACGCCATCCCACGTATGTAAGGACAGCCCTCGAGCCAGATGTGAGTGTGTGCACGTGGGCTGCACAGAAAGACGTAGGGGGTGGTCACACGGCCCTGGGAGAAGAAGCAGGGGGGAGAAGGGAGGGCTGGAGGCTGGAGTTCAGGTGGGTGGCAAAGGGCCACGTGTCTGCAATGGACAGCTGACCCTTCAATAACACGGGTTTGGACCGTGCGAGTCCACTCGTATGCAGATATTTTTCAATAAATACAATATGGTGCTGTAAGTGTATTTTCTCTTCCTTTTTCTTAATAACATGTCCTTTCCTCTAGCTCACCGTATTGTAAGAATACAGTGTGTAATACCTACCACATACAAAGTGTGTGTTAATCGACTATTTATGTCACTGGTATGGCATCCAGCTGAAACCAGGCTATTAGTAGTTTGGGGAGAGTCAAAAGCTATCTATGGATCTTCCACTGTGTGGGGGTCAGCGCCCCTGACCACACACCATTCAAGGGTCGGCTGAACGTGTGTGTTACTAGCAAACTTTCACTACCTTGCAGAACAAAGCTCCTGTTCTCCAGGTTAGTCCTGGCTCCCTGCAGTCACCAACTCTTCCTGAGTAACTTCTGTCAACCTCTCTTTCCTCCACATACCTTCCCATGCCAAAAAGTATCCCATGCGAATTTTACTGGGAATTACATATGCAGCATATATATTTGGGGGAAAATGTGCTGTTTTATAAACACTTAAAAGTAGAATCTGGGGGCTCCTGGGTGGCTCAGTCAGTTAAGCGTCCGACTTTGGCTCAGGTCATGATCTCACGGTTCATGGGTTCCAGCCCCACATCGGGATCTGTGCTGACAGCTCAGAGCCTGGAGCCCGTTTCGGATTCTGTGTCTCCCTCTCTCTCTGACCCTCCCCTGCTCATGCTACATCTCTCAAAAATGAATAAACATTTAAAAAAATTTTTTTAATAAAAAAAAAGTAAAGTCTGTAATTAGGGCATGAATTCTATGGAAACGAAAACGGTTTTAAGAGAGTCTGAGGCAACTCATTTAAATCAGTTAAATATTCCCCGCGTCAACTTCTAACACCTTTCATTTGCTCGGGAAACTCTTCCTTCAGGGAAAGTCTCTGCCCAACGCCTGCTCAAAGCCACGAATGATGTCAGCGGGGTGGGTGCTAAGTTATCGGGGGTTTCTCTGCATCCCCACCAGCCTCGGGCAAGACCACAGAGCCCTGCAGACAGAAACGACCAGTCATGAGCACGGCAGACTGGACAGCGTCACACCTGAGGCCACGCCCAGGGTGGGTGGGCTAGTCTGCAGAAAGGAAGCTGCCTCCCCAGGGCCCCGGCCCCGGGCCTCCCAGGGCAAAGAAAGTCAAAACACCCACATGCTCAACCACAGGGAATGTTCCATGTCTGATCTACCCATGACGGGGAGCATATATGAGAGGGAGGAGGATATTATAACGATTGGACGGATCACTGCTGGGGGAGTGTGAGGACTTCCCTCTCTACTCTGCCCCCGTCCACACTGCCCTCCGTAGTCATCAGAGGCTGGGGAAGGGGTAGAGCTGCCCACTTCCTGTATTTGGAGGGAGCGGGAGGATTCCTGGTTTTCAGTGTCCTTCCTTCACATAGTTACACAGACGGGGGGCAGGAGGCTAGTGTGTGTGTGATCAGCACACGGTGCCGCTCATTGACTTACGTTTTTGTTCAAGAACTTGCCCTGGTACCTGTGGTTCAGGTGGATGAGCTCGGCCGCACCCTCCTGCTGTCCGCTCACCCAGGTACCTACATACTTACTGCCCGTCTCTGCGTAGAAGTAGGTGCCTTGCCCGTGCCTGGTGAAGACAGAGCGCACAATTTATTTTGTTCCGACATCGTGAAAGCCCGCCCAGGTTTCTAAGACAGACATTGAAGTCGGACGTGGCCTATATTTGGCTTCTCTGCCTGCGCCCCGTCAAAGCAGGCTCTGGCCCTGTGTGCCCACGCGTGGGAGGGGTGTCACCTCCTGGACGGCGAGGACCTTCCCTCAAGTCCGCCGCTTCACGCTGGGAAGACGCAGCGCTCCCCGGAGCTGTGGCTCTGTCCCCAGGAGGGTTCTTCTGTGCCCTCCTTGTCCCCAGGGCTCTCGAGTGAAAGACCACATGTCTGGCGCCCGCCCCGGAATGTGTCACCTGGCGTGCCCACCTTAAAGCCGTGAAGGGTTTGAACTGCCTGGCAAGAGCTGGCTAACGGGCTTTGGTCGTGACCCTGCTTCTTACTAAGGCGTCATCACGTTCTCATTACGTAAGTCGGACTACAGAGCTGGGGGAGGCGCACCTCTGGTGAGCAAACCACTCTCCCGTGTACGTGTCGTTGTTGACATAGTAGTACACGCCGTGGCCGTGTCTGTGGTCATCCATCCACTCCCCTGCAAGGGACGACACAAAAGCAGACCGGCTGAGAAGGGAAGGACAGCCTCACCCGCTGCCACCTTCACCTCCCACTGTGACGCCCCGCTGCCCCTTGCCCCTCCGGCTGGACGGCGTGGTTAAGGGAAGTGGAGTCAGGGTCTCACTGCGTGCAGGCCTGGGCAGGTGCACCCACGTGGGCCATGGCCACCTGTGCGCGCCGACAGCAGGTATCACAGTCGCTCAGTGGCGCGGCCGGGATTCAAACCAGGGTTTGGTCCGCCCGGCCCCCAGCAGTCCCAGCTCCACCCTCCCTCTGCCTGCACGGGTTCACCGATCCAGCAACAACCCTCTGGTGCCATTCTCCACCTCCTTCCTTATCAAGCTCCAGCACCCCCTCCGAGCCTGGGCGTGCGGGCGCCCCGCCTGTGGGCCAGCTCCCTGCAAGGTAACGCCACCCCTTTGCCAACCAGTGTCTGTGCAAGGACTCTTCCATCGCTAATTGTCCTTGCCGACTCACCTCCGTGCAGGCTCCTGCCTATTTCCTGCTGACTTGGTAAGAAATACTGGAATTGGCAAAGATAGCATAAAATTCGCAAGACCCCTGCCGGAATGACCGCAGCGGAGTAGTTAGTGAATGTTGCCAATTCTTGAAGATTGATTCCTGCCCTGGGAAATTCACAACGTCCTCAAACGTTCATCCTTCCAGCCCACGGATGAAAGAAACCTAACAGAGATTTCCAAAGTCGACAAGTATCCTGAAGACTCACTCGACATTGCTAGTGACAAGTTAAGCTCAGTGACTCTTCTCTAGACAGTGAATACTTTTTTCAGAAAGCTAATTTTTATCGATTTTTGATCAAAGACAGGACATAGAATTCTCTATTTTCTCTTTAGAAAATGTTATTACAAAATTGTTGTCAGATAGACATTCCGTTGTTTGCTAGAAAAGTAAGGAAAAGGCATGCTACAGGCACAGCAGACATGAACTTGAGAAATGGGAAGCCTCTTGCACTGTTGGTGGGAACACAAACTGGTGCAGCCCCTCTGGAAAACAGGGTGGAGGTTCCTCAAAAAATTCACACTAGATCCACCCTATGACCCAGCAATAGCACTGCTAGGCATTTATCCAAAGGATAGAGGGGTGCTGATGCACAGGGGCACATGGACCCCAATGTTCATAGCAGCACTCTCAACAATAGCCAACACATGGAAAGAGCCTCAGTGGCCATCAACGGACGAATGGATCAAGAAGATGTGGTTTATCTATACGATGGAATACTCCATGGCAATGAGAAAGAATGACATCTGGCCTGTGTAGCAACATGGATGGACCTTGAGGGTGTTATGCTGAGTGAAATAAGTCAGACAGAGAAGGACAGATACCATATGTTTGCACATATAGGAGGATTAGGAGGAACTTAACGGAGGACCGTGGGGGAGAAGAAGGGGGGAAATGGTGGGGGAGGGGGGGAGGCAAACCATGAGAGACTCTTGAATGCTGAGAACACACTGAGGGCAGATGGGTGTGGGGGGAGGGGAAGGGGGTGATGGGCATGGAGGGCACTTGTGGGGATGAGCACTGGGTGTTGTATGTAAGCCAATTTAACAATAAATTATATTAAAAGAATAACAATAGTAAATAAAAATTATAAAATAAAAGCTAAATAAAAATTAAAAATTCATATATTACTTCCTCAGATTTTATAATGTTCACAGCATTTAAAATTTTTTAACTTATTTTGATTTCTCATTACAAATAAAAATTCACTTTTATGCCAATTTTATGTTCTTTTTTTTTAATGTTTTATTTATTTCTAGGAGACAGAGAGAGAGACAGCGTGAGCAGGGGAGGGTCAGAGAGAGAGGGAGTCACAGACTGAAACAGGCTCCAGGCTCTGAGCTGGCAGTCAGCACAGGGCCCGACGTGGGGCTCGAACCCACGAACCGTGAGATCATGACCTAAGCGAAAGTCGGACGCTTGACCGACTAAGCCACCCAGGCTCCCCTTATGTTCTTTTTCTTAAATTTAGCCCTCAAAACTTGTATAAGCTTCTGAACTACAGGAAAACTGGACCTGCTTCCACACGAAGAGGAAGAATTCACATGCCTCGAATATGTCGATCGTCCGACAAATACGTGTTTGCACGAATAAACCCCACATTCACCACCACCAACAGCAAATCTACATGCGGAACTTGGATGCGTTTTCTCTGTCCATCCCACAGGCCCTGAGACTCTGTGAGATGGACCAGCTGCTGTACTAGCAACAGAGCCCGTCGGGGAGGGCCTGTCCCTTCTGGGCAGGAGGCAGACACCGGAGAGCAGCAGAAAGAACCGTGCTTTCGGGAAGCAGCCACCAGGCTCAGGAACCACACGAGCAGAAGGAATGGAGGATCCTGAGACTGAAATAATTCAGTAGACACGGGGGCTTGCACGTAACATAGCCATGAGGATAGACAGAGTGTGCAGAAGTCTCAGAGGACTTGTCCGGATTTTTTTTTTTTAATTTTTAAGTTATTTATTTTTTGAGAGAGAGCATGAACAGGGGAGGAGCAGACAGAAAGGGAGGGAGAGAATCCCAAGCAGGCTCCACGCTGTAAGCACAGAGCCTGACACGGGGCTCGAACTTACAAACCGTGAGATCATGTCCTGAGCAGAAATCAAGAGTCAGACGCTTAACCTGAGTCACCCAGGCATCTGCACTTGGCTGAGTTTTTAAGGGACAATTGTGTCCTTGTAAATCACCAGTTTAAAAGATGAAGGAAGGGGGCGCCTGGGTGGCTCAGTCGGTTAAGCATCCGACTTCAGCTTGGTTCATGATCACACAGTTCGTGGGTTCAAGCCCCATATTGGGCTCTGTGCTGACAGCTCAGAACCTAGAGCTGCTTCTGATTCTGTCTCCCTCCCTCTCTCTCTGCCCTTTCCCTTCTTGCACTCTGTTTCTCAAAAACAAACATTGAAGAAAATATTTTAATAAAATAAAATAAAATGGGGAAAGAAGAAGCAGGAAGAGGAGGCGGGCAGACGTGTAGCCCACACCAATTTCTGTGATGTAAGAATCCGGCTGTGGCCAAGGTTGGGCCATGCACGGAGCGGGGGACGCGTGTGCAGCGCTGGCTTGTGTGAGCGCTCAAGGACTCACTGCGCACGGCCCCGGGCCAAGACCTTCTTCAGTTTCTTCCCAGCAAAAGACCACAACTGACAAGCAATTCCTGCCTTTTCTCCTGGCCCTGAGGGCCAGTCTCCAGGGCAGCGTGGCAAGAAATGTGTATTAAACACTTTACAGGCAATGTTCAAGAAGAGAATTAACTTGCAAACCAAATTTCAAGTCAGTGAGATCTGGTGAGGAAGCTTGTTATATAAAGTCCCAGTTTAGGGGCACGTGGGTGTTCGACCCTTGATTTCGGCTCAGGTCATGATCTCACGGTTTGTGGGTTTGAGTCCTGAGTCAGGATCTGTGCTGACAGCTCAGAGCCTGGAGCTGCTTCCAATTCTGTGTCTCCCTCTCTCTCTGCCCCGCCCCAGCTCGCACTCTGTTTCTCTCTGTCTCTCAAAACTAAATAAGCATTTAAAAAATTTTTTTTAACTTAAAAAAAGTTTTTTAAGGTCCTAGTTTACCCATTGGGGACCCAGCCCCGCTGACAGTGACCCGGCCTCAGTAAACGGCGCAGAGGGAAGGAGCTAAGGAAGGGAAGGGTGGCTCCTGGAGCGCGTCCTTCACACCCTGACGCAGGCTCCCTTGCAGGCCACTGAGAAACTGCATTGCTGTTTGTTGGTTTACGTGTGCACCTTGCGTCTTAAAGCTTTTCTACCCCAGATCCTGTGCTTCCCATCATTCCCGATCTTGTCAGCTGGAGTTTTCCCAGCTGCCTTTCTGCTCCAGGGAAATCTCCACGGCTGGCTGGCTGGCTGGTGGCCCGGGTCGGGCTGGTCTCCCCTCCGGGAGCACATCGTTCCTGTTCCGAAGCTCTCCGTATGCGCCCACCCTGCCACCACGCTGGGGGGCCCCTGGTCTGGAGCTCTGGAGATTGGAGACCATTTAAGACAAAAACGCCCTTCCAAGGACTTCACCCCCATCTGAAATGTGGCCCCGTCACGGCCTCCCGCGCTGGCTGCGTCCACTGCCAGGTCCCCTGCACGGAGGAGGGCCCGGAGCTGACCCTGGTGGTGAGTCACTCTGGTGGAGCCCCCGCCAACTGGCGCCTGCAGTGGCCAGTTTGTTTGGATGTGTAATAACCAACACACGTGTTTACAGGGACAGCACCGCAACCCAGAGACGTCATGCTCATGGCCCAAGGCTGCACAGCGGCGCTGGAATGAAAATCCGGGTTTCTCTGGCTCCAACCTCATGCTCTCTTCCACAGGCCTCCCAACGGCCACGCGTCCTGTCTTCTCCCGGCTCCTGCCACACGAGAGCTTCCAGAAACCTGACCTCAAGTCATCGTGCCGTTTCTCTGCAACTTCATTACTAAACACCTTCACCTTCATTTGCTCCTTGAGCACAGAAGCAGCACCAGCGCTGGAGACGGGAGCCCCTGCTCTTTCCCACGCCCTCACCGCCCCCCCCCCCACTTCACGGTCTGTCCAGGTGGTCCAGATGCCCCTCCAAAGTCTGGCACCCACTCACCCCTCCAACCCCGTCCCCTGCTCCGCCAAGCACCCCTGCCTCCCAGCCTCTGCTCACGTGGTCCCACAAACCGGGAGCGTCCACTCGTGCCTGGGCCCCCAGCAGGCCCGGCTCAGCATCTGCGAGACCGGAAATGCACCCATACCCGGGGCCGAGGCTGAGCACACTCGCTAGCCTGCGGGAACCCACTCCGTGTCCCTCAGGACGGCAGTCAGCCAACGCCCAGGCATGACGAATCACAGCCTTTGTGACCGGAAGGTTGCCCGCTCCCTGAGCTAAGATTAATGTTGCAGCTTCTGACCTCGGAGAAGAAATCTCTGAGTGGTGACCACACCCTGCACCCTTTAAGAGACAAAGCCACATGGAGACACAAAAACGCACAGCTGCTTCCAAAGAAGTTCACGTTAAAAACTCCTTCCATCTCTTACTCTGAGTCTCTTTTTTATGTATTTATGTGTTGCTCCACATGCATTAACATCCACACGAGAATAAAACATGACAGCAATGAGATTAGGTTCATAATGGTTGGGAAAGAATTCAATCAAACCCTATAAATTAAATTGTTGAAAGTTGATTTCAAAAGCAGATGGTGCTCCTCCTGGAATAAGCCCTCCAAGAAAGAGGAAACGGACAGAAACCCCCCCTCCGACGGGGAGGCATTAGCACCGTCACCTGGGTCTCAGACACGGGCAGAATGGCTGCCTTAGATTTCCTGGGCTCTGTCTTCATTCAGCAACAGGGGAGGACTGGTGTGGCTCGCACCCGGGGGACATGTCATCCCCACTGGGAGGTGACGCCACCTCCCAGGCCGCCACATACTGAGCACTCGCCACCTGTCGGGTGCCGTCTGAGCGTTCCCACAGGGGCAGCTCATGAATCAAGCCTTTCTGGTTTCTGTGTCAGCCCTGTGAACAGAGGAGCACAACTTGTGTTTGTTGAGTGACTGACTGACCTGGAGAACTTTAAGCCCTCTCCTACCACTCAAGATCCACAGACAAGTTCAATTCCCTGAGGAGACCTCTACAGTACAAACATCTGCTTTGAGAGCCCATTTTACCTTCAAATCTTTTTTTAATGTTTTTATGTATTTTTGAGAAAGAGAGAGATGGAGCATGAGCAGGGGAGGGGCAGAGAGAGAGGGAGACATAGAATCCAAAGCAGCTCCAGGCTCTGAGCTGTCAGCACAGAGCCTGATGCAGGGTTCAGACTCGAGAACCCTAGATCATGACCTGAGCCGAAGTCAGACACTTAACTGAGCCACCCGGCGCCCCTTACCTTCATATCTTGATCCGTCTGGGTATATGAAAGTGCCATGGCCATGTTTTTTATTTTTAACGTATTCTCCAATGTATCGAGCGCCGTTTTTAAATTTGTAGATCCCCTAAAACACGTTGGTTACATAATTCATATCATTCCTGAATTTAATACTCACCCATAGAATATCCACTAGATAGAGATAAGTACCCACTCACGCCACCAGTTCTGACCTGGCCATGCCTTTTACCATGCTGGTAGCTCCCTTCATACGTGTCCCCGTTGGGCAGCCTTGCTCTCCCGTGTCCGTGCCGTTCGCCAACCTCGTTCCGGTCCCCTTCATACTCCTGGGCAGAAGAAACGAGGACCATCACACCTACTATGTATTCACCACTAACGATATATTAAACATTTTGTAAGTAGCTTGTCATTGAATCTCTCCCAATCCTCAGCCCCATCATACAGGTGAGGTAGGTAACAGCCCCTGGGCGCAACGGGGCATTTGTCCAAGGTGACACACCTAGAACCTGTCGCTGGTGGAAACCTCACTCTCTCCCTGCAACTTCTGAGCTTGTAAGGTATCATGCTAATCCTTAACACTACAAACAAAACTCCAGGTGTTCCAAATTGCATTCTTTATGGAAACATGTTTGAAATAACATATGTAGGTGGAATTGTTCCTGAGCCACACAGGCCCCTCCCTGTGGCTTCCTCCAATAATCCAGGACTTAAAATGCAAAGACAACTCTTGCTTCAAGTGATTCCCTGGGCTTTTGAGGTCTCAGGAGGCACCAGTGGGAGAGGAAGCAGCCAGGGGGAACGCAGGAGGAAATAGGGCTCAGCTGTCACAAGTGTCCCTAACTCCACTTAGTTTATCTCCTTACCAAGTGTGAACTCCTTATCAAGAGACTTGAACTTCACTCATATACTCATATGAAATAATTACATATCTTGAAAGTAAACCAATAAAAAAAATGTTAACACAAGTGTGCAATATACCTGTTTCCTCTGACTCTGCATAAAATAAACCTTCCTCCACACTTAACCATGAGTGCAGAGTGCCCATAACAGATAGTAAAAGGGCCAAGGTACAGAGGAATGATTTGACATAGATCTGCACCTGCAGGGATATTACAACACAAGTTCAAACACCCGACTGGGACTTCTGATGCAAGCACTGCTATAGATTCCCTTTCCCTGCATGATCCAGCTCAGAAATCCTTCCTCAGAATGGAAGGTAAAAATGCGTGATCTTAGGGGCACCTGGGTGGCTCAGTCGGTTAAGCCTCCAACTTCAGCTCAGGTCATGATCTCACGGTTTGTAAGTTCGAGCCCCGTGTTGGGCTCTGTGATGACAGCTCAGAGCCTGGAACCTGTTTCGGATTTTGTCTCTCTCTCTCTCTCTCTCTCTCCCCTGCTCACACACACACTCTCTCTCTCTAAAAAATAAATAAACTTAAAAAAAATTTAATGCATGACCTTACACATTTATTGCAGCGTTAGTCTAAATTCAAAATTTATAAAAGCTCCCCCCATCCCACTCAGAAGATCTCCCAGTGCACTCCTACTGAGCCACTGGGGTGGCTGAACAGGAGGGCAACCCTTTAAAATGACCCCAGCTGGGGCGCCTGGGTGGCTTAGTCGGTTAAGCGTCCGACTTTCGCTTAGGTCATGATCTCGCGGCTCGTGGGTTCGAGCCCCGCGTCGGGCTCTGTGCTGACTGCCAGCTCAGAGCCTGGAGCCTGTTTCAGTCTGTGACTCCCTCTCTCTCTGACCCTCCCCTGCTCACGCTGTCTCTCTCTCTCTCTCTCTCCTGGAAATAAATAAAACATTAAAAAATTTTAAATAAATAAATAAAATGACCCCAGCTGTGATTTAAGCTACAATGACGGGCACTAAAAAGTTATAAGTCAGCAGGGCTATTTGAGGAGACAGACTTGAAGTCTCCCTGGGCAGATGTGGTAGTTTGGGCTCCCCCAGAAGAAGACCCTGAACAAGCGATTTTTTCAAAGTGCTCACTGAGAAGCCAGTAAAGGGGAGGGGGAAATAGACATGAAGGAGGAGGCGGGACAGCATGGGGAGGTCAGGAGATGTCCCAGACTCGGCCTCCGTGCACAAGGACTCGGGAGTGTCAATCACTGTTATTCGTCCTGCTGTTTAGGGCCAGCACTGGCTGTCCAGACACCATGTAGACCCCTGGCACTTCTGGCTCTCCCACCTGGCCAGGCGGCCCCACGTGGTGCAGGCACTAGTCCTGGGCAGTAAATGGGGCAGAAGCTGAGAGTCAGACGCACCAAGCTAACCCACAGGGCTGCGCAGGCGCCAACACGTCCATCCCAGCAGAGATGCCAGGTTCTTCAGTTAGTTCTGAAACTATCCCGACGCTGTGCCCTGCGCGCGCACACACACACAGTGGCTGGGGTTCCCAACGTGTCAGCCAAGAAGCGGTCGCCCTCTGGGTTAGAGCGGCTAATCTGTGAACACGTGTACATAAAAGCACTTCGCTGGAGGTGCACCGCACGCCGCCTCTCTGCTGCCTGAGCCAGGGAGCAATGCCAGAGACTTGGGTCGGCTGCTACCACACTGAAGAAAGAGCCTGGCATTCCAGACCCACAGGAAGCCTTCGCTGAGCCCGAGACCTTCTGGGCATTTCTTGAAGGCTGCCAGGGAGCAGCTTGCCTTCATCATCCTTGACCGCGAGGGGCCAAGCTCCATCACAGAACAGCATTTCAAGTCGGGGTGACCCCCCCCCCCAACCCAAGGAGACTGCCTGGACTGACAGCAGGAAAGAGGCTTCCCGAGTCTTTGACTTGGAAATCTTTGCCTTTAACGGGAGGCGGGCTGGAGAGGGGAGGAGGCGGCGAGAAGGGCCGCGGCAAGAAGACGTCACCGCGTTTCACCTTTCGCCGCCAACTTCCAGGCCGCGCCAGCGCGTCCCTGTCCTTGGCCGGGCCGCCGGGGGGCTGTGGCCGGCCTCCTCCGGGGGTGCGTCTGGGGAGCCCCCCACCACCGGAGCTCTCACCCCAAGATCATTCTCTCCCTCCTCCTCCACCTCCTCCGAGCCCAGGTCCGACATGGCCTAGTCCCCGTCTGGGTCCTCGCCGCCACCAGCGCGTCCCCAGGAGGTAGGCACCGCTGCTCGCACCGCCGCGTCCGCCGTCGCCAAGGAGACGCGGCCAGTCCCGCCTCCCCACCGGCGCGGGCGGAGGGCGGGAAGCACGGGGCGGAGCCACTGGCAGCGTGCGGGTGCTGTCATAGCAACGGGAAGGGCACTTCGACCAATCGCCGCCCGGGAAGAGAGGGGGCGTGGTCTGAGGCGGGAAGGGGCGGAGCCAGTGGAAGCTCTCGGTGCTGTCATAGCAACGGGAGGGGCACCTCGACCAATCGCCGCCCGGGAAGAGGGAGGGGGCGGGGCTTGGGATGGGCTTGGTACCCACCAGCCTCCCTCCTGGACCCCGTGGGACAGGTCCCGGGACGCTTTAGCTGGAGGCTGGGTGATGCTGTACCGTGGAGCCACCTTTGACCAGGGCCCCAAAGAGTTGGTGCGCAAGGTGCACCGCGCCAGCTCTCAAGAGGGCCTCATCTCTGCCCGGCGCTGAGCACTGCCCCTTCCGACCCTTCCCCTGGGCTACTTGGGTCCCTCGGTGGGCCCTGCCCGCCCTTCCTCACCTATCTGGGCTCTTCTGGCCTTTTAACGTTGGCAGTCCACAGACATGTGCCCGCTGAGATCTTTTCTCACGTTTATAAACGTCTCCCGACGCAAGGAGTCAGTTCTAACCTCCAGGCAGAGACGCTTCCGCACTGATGCCCTTCAGGGTTTGACGTCCCATCTCCACCCCGAACGTGAGGGCAGTCCCCCTTAGACCCGAAGGAGGAGGGAACTTCAACACCATGTATGGCCTACCTACCGATCATCCCTCCCTCCCTCCCTCCATCTACCTATCATCCATCCACAGAGCTTCCCCCCTCCTATCTAGCTATCGGCCCCCGCAACGCCTGGAAAAGTGTTTTCCCACAGTAGATGCCCAGCCAGGCCAGTGCAGTCCAGTCCATCTGGGTCTTTAGGTCCCTGGTGAGATGGAACTATGGTCGAGGTCTTTCTTCATCAGTTGCACTTAAAAGGACCTCTAACTTGTGGGTGTGAATAAACAAAGACCACCCACATGAGAACAAGCAAAGACTGTTTATTCAGAGCTTTGCTATAGCCAAGGACTCAGCCACCGTGACTTGCGTCTTGGCCAAGGCTCCCAGGCAGGCAGAGGAGTGGCAAAGCCGACAGTGGAGAACAGGGAGGCCCCGGGGTGCCCGGGTCACAGCAGCTGGCCCCGAGAAGCTGTAGGCGGCTAACTAGAAGCGGTGCTGAGGGAGCGTAAGGCAGGCTGACACCCCCACAAACACCCCCCACCCCAGGTGGGACATGTGTGACACTCCTCGGGCACTCCTGGCTGCCCAAGAACGAAGGAAAGGGGGACAGAAATGGTTAACTGATGGGACATCACGGTCCTGCACGACTTGGGTCTCCATCAGTTTACAAATATCTTAGTAAATTACAAGAAAGAGGCAATCTTATCAGTAGCCTAATCTCCAGAACCCTATAGACCCCGTTTCCTGGAGCCCCAACAATACCCCTCCATTGCGATGTGGGAAACAAAGGCAGAAGGAAATGGCAGGTAAAATTAAATTTCCTTATAACCTGCAGCCCATTGGCAAATACTTGAGGCTGGCAGAGTAAAACTCCCCACTGTCTTAATGCTAATACTTTTCTAGGGGGAAAAACAACCTTAGCTTGACAATAGCTAGGCCTTCAGTATCCTGTGAGTCTTTTTTAGCATAGGAGAATCTCATTGGAAACTTCCCCTTGACTTCACCTCCCTCAGCTCCCAAGTATATAACCAGTCTCTCCTCATGGTCCCGGGGCCACTCTTCCTGCCCACAGGTCCCGTCCCCGGGCTTTAATAAAGTCACCTTTTGTGCACCAAAGACCGCTTCAAGAATTCTTTCTTGGCCATCAGCTCCAGACCCCACCATCACCCCAAAACCACATCAGTGGGACATCCCATGCGACTGGTTATCAGTGCAAATCGAGCTTTCTCTGGTTGATCCTAAGCTGGAAGAAAGGAAAAGGTCAGGGAACTGCTCAGTTACTAATCAAGTCCTGGCCAATTGTTAGTGATGTTATTGTTCGTTCTAGACCAGTTGGTAGAGATAGTGGACTGACTTCCTACAAGCCTGACTTACAGCAGGCTGGCTTCCTGCACTGGTTACTATAAATAATGGATTGGTTTCCTGGGCTGCAGCTTGTGCATCAGTGTTTTATTTTTCTATATGGTTTGGCCATCAAACATTTGTACATCTGATTTCTAATGTGTGTTTGCAAACTTTACAAATAACTGTGTCATCTTAAATCTAAATATCATTGCTTTCTGACATTTAGTACCTTCAGCAATAACACTAACCCAATTGTTTTATTTCTTTAAACCCAATATTTAAGTATTCCAAAAAAATTGATCTCGATGAGGGAAGGGGGGAGACCAGTGTTAAAGGCCTCATTGTCCAGTGAAAACATTAATCTCCAAGAGCCGGAAGGTCCACGTGCTAATTCTGGGTTCCCATGGCTTTGGTGACCTCAGGCAATTCAGCCGCCCTCTGAACCTTGGATTCCTCTTTTGTAAAGTGAGGGGAATAAGCTCTTCTAATCTCAAAGAGCTGCCAAAGGGATCAAAGATAATATTTTATTAACGTACTGTTATTTATTATGAGAGCTACATCACGGTAATGACAGAAATATTACAAAGAATTCACTTATCCTTAATAGAAAATTCCCCTCACACCCCTCCCACGCCCCAAGATGTGCTGTGTGTTATGGCTGTCAGAGTAGGGGGAGGGGTGGCTGAGGAAACACGGAGTTTGACCTTGCCTGACAGCCTAGTGTGTGCCAGATGCACGAGGGAAGCATCCACAGGCCTTTCAGACACACACACTTTGCGGGCCTTTCTTTCCCTCGGACACAGTTGACACAATGGAAAGTAGCATCTTTCCCAGATCTCAGGCCCAAACACATCACTTATTGAAAAAAGAAACAATTGGGGCGCCTGGGTGGCTCAGTTGGTTAAGCATCTGACTTCGGCTCAGGTTATGATCTCACCGTTCGTGGGTTCGAGCCCCGCATCGGGCTGTGTGCTGACAGCTCAGAGCCTGGAGCCTGTTTCGGATTCTGTGTCTCCCTCTCTCTCTGACCCTCCCCTACTCCCGCTGTCTCTCTCTCTCAGAAATAAAACATTTTTAAAAAAAGAAAAAAGAAACAATTGACAAGCAAATTAGCACACAACGCCCTACAATTAACATTATTTGTTAGTTGCGAAGAAAAAAGATGATAAACACCAAAATTTAACAGCTTTTCTTGCAGGGAGGGTGGGTAGTGGGGGAGTGAGGTGTCTGGGATATAGATGAGTACAATCTACTTTACACTTGACAGTTGCCACACTGACTATGATGAAGTGTCTTTTTATAATAAAATGTCGAAAATATTTTAACGTGAGAAATCTGTAATGGTAATAGTAATGTGAATAAATGTTTGCTTTTATGCAGGTAGGAAAATGTCAGAAACTCAACTTTCAGATTTGCTCTAACAGTGACAGTTACTAAAGTCTGCTAAGTTCCAACTTGTGCTGGCTGTGGGGTTTTTTTTTTTTAATTTTGTTTAATGTTTATTTATTTTTGAGAGAGAGAGAGAGAGAGGCAGAGCATGAGCTGGGGGGTGGGAGGGCAGGGATGGGGAGACAGAATCTGAAGCAGGCTCCTGGCTCTGAGCTGTCGGCACAGAGCTGAACTCACAACCTTTAGATCATGACCCAAGCTGAAGTCAGACGCTTAACAGGCTGAGCCCCCCAGCAGCCCTGTGCAAGCAGTGTTTTAAGAGTTTCACGTGAATTATCTTATGAATTCCTTGCTGCCGTTCCCCCACCATACAGCCAGGGAAAGGAAACCACAGAGAGGTAAAGTCGTTGCTTGAGATCATAGAGCCAGTGGGATTCAAAGCTATTACTGCTCATCGCCCCACTGCCTCCCAGATCTCTGATTTAAAGTAGCAGCTCTGGTTTTCTAGAAGTGGCCTTAGCCATCTACCAAGCAGAGAACCATTGGTTCAATGAGCATTAGAATGAAAACAAACCCAGAAACTGGCTTAAGCAAACCCTATTCTGGATCACATCGTTAGTAAGCAGCGGGTGCCAAGCCACAGCACTGGAGAACCCTAAAATTTACAACTTGATTGATGTCCCATGCAAATTAGTCAGCGTCCCCTCCTCCCAAATCTTTCAATCTACAGGAATTTCACTACCCTGCAGGTTTAGCACCTGTCCAAATAAAGCAATACGGGTAACAACAGGGCCGCCCCCTCCCCCGCCTCCCGCAGCAACACGAGATCTGATCCGAACTCTTCCTTCCAGAAGAGTTCCCTGGATCAGATCAGGCTCTCTCCCTCTGAGAGACCTGGGAAGATTTCATCAGGCCAAGCTGGGTCCTGGTAGCCCCAGACTCCTTGACCCCTAGCTCCCAGGTGACCCCGAAGTGCCTGGCGATCACTAAGGCATTGTTCTCAAACTCTGAAGGCCCTCAAAATGCCCCCTTAACTCATCCTCTTCCTTCCTTTGGGGTAATGAGGGGCAAAAAGGGGAGGACATCACCAGAAGGGGGTTTCTTCCCTGGGAAAAAAAAGGAAGAAATACTCCTCTACCCCTTAAAAACCTTTCCAGGGAGGCCCTTCCCATAATTCACCCGCAAAGGTCTCCCATCATGCCCCAGCGAGCCCTTCCCATCACCCACCACGAGGCGTTTCCCATCATGCCCCAGCGAGCTCTTCCCATCACCCACCACGAGGCGTTTCCCGTCATCCCCCAGTGAGCTCTTCCCATCACGCCCCAGGAGCGATTTCCCATCCACCCCTGCGGGGAGCTTGCAGGGATGCAGCCTCCGTGATGAGTGGACGGCGCGCCGGCCTCGGGTGAGTGGGGAGCAGAGCGCCCGCCCAGCTCCGTTTCCCCAGTAGGAACTTCTCTTCTCGCCCTTCCCTAGTGTGAGTGAGGAGGCCCACCCGTCTCCACCTACCTGCCCTCCCCCAAAACCGGGGCCAGGCTGGAGGGGTGCCCCCAGCCTCTGCCGCGGGACTGCTCCAGAGGGGAGGGCGGGCTCCCGGAAGCCCTCCTGGGGGCCATCACCCAACTGCACAGCTTCCCGACCCACTTCTGAGCCCAGGGCTGGAGGCCTGGCGGTTGCCGTGGCAACTAGCGGAGTCCTGGAGCGGTCCCTTCTGAGCTCTTCAGGACCCTGCACGCTAAGCCGCAAGAACCGAGGGCGGCGGGAGGGGGGCCAGCGGGCCTGTTCCGCTTGCTTACGTCTGTGACAGCTCAGGTAGGAAGCAGCAAGATGACTTCAGGCCCATCTTAGCCATGGAAATGGCCGGCTCTTTGTTAAAATTGCTTGTGTTCTTGGAATTGTGTGCATGTTATATGTATGCACACATTTAACCGTGCGTAGATACAGATGTGTGGGTACATCGATGTAGATACACAGCTGTTTTGAAAACAGGAATTACAGCTTCTCTTTTTTTTTAGAGAGAGCGAGCGAGAGCATGCGTGCGTGTGGCAAGGGGAAGGACAGAGAGAGGAAGAAAGAGAATCCCACGCAGACTCCAGGCTGTCAGTACCAAGCACCATGTGGGGATCGATCTCACAACCATGAAATCATGACCTGACCCAAAATAGAGAGTCCGTCGCTCAACCTACTGAGCCACCCTGGCGCCCCTAGATAGATATTTTATAAAGATATTTTTAAGTTTGTTTATTTTGAGAGAGAGAGTGTGTGTGTGTGTATGTGTGTGTGGAGGGGGGAAGAGAGAGAGAGAAAGACAGAATCTCAAAGAGGCTCTGCACTGTCAGTGTGAAGCCTGACACAGGGGTCTATCTCACAAACTGTGAGATCATGGCCTGAGCCGAAGTTAAGAGTCATTTAATCAATTAAGCCACCCAGCCCCCCCCAACAGATAGATATTTAAAAACAGGAATTGCAACGTCTTTTTTAAAAAATAAAAGACTTGTGGCAACTGGGTGGCTCAGTTGGTTAAGCGTCTGACTTTGGCTCAGGTCACGATCTCATGGTTTGTGAGTTCAAGCCCAGCGTTGGGCTCAGTGCTGACAGCTCAGAGCCTGGAGCTGCTTCGGATTCTGTGTCTCCCCCTCTCTCTACCCCTCCCCTGCTTGCACTCTCTTTTTCTCTCTCTCTCAAAAATAAATGAACATTACAACAAATAAAAATAAAAGACTTTTAATGACATTTAGTGGATAGGAGTCAGACGCAGGGTTGGAACCCTAGCTCTGTGTATTCCTTTCTGAAGTCAGTTTGTCCATCTTTAAAATGGGGTATAGCTAACTGCCCTCCTAGGCCCATTGCCATGTCTAAATAAAATGTTTTTAATGAGCGTAGCCCAGTGGGGAGCACTTAGTAAGTGCAGGCTGTTATTAATAAGTATCCTGTGTTACCCACGTCATAAACTAAGCACCTTCTATCAGTAGGTCTTTGGTGAACTTTGACTCCAGTTTATTGTAATTATTTTCAGTTGTCATTTCTTCCTTGAAGAGGTGGTTCAACTGGGTAATTGTGACAATCAGAGGTTAGGCTGTGATCAAGAGATTTCACTGAATGCTTGTATTCATTAGTGCTGACATACCTGAGGGCAGGAAGAGACTGAAGTTTCTAGAAATATATGGACACGTAGGTTCTTTTTTAAATGTTTACTTATTTTTGAGAGAGAGAGAGCATGAGCAGGAGAGGGGCAGAGAGAGAGGGAGGGAGGGAGAGACAGAATCCCAAGCAGGCTCTGCACTGCCAGCGGGTGGGGGGTGGGGGGGAACACCTCATGAATCACGAGATTGTAACCTGAGCCGAAACTAAGAATCAGATGCTCAACTGACTAGGCCGCCCAGGCTCCCTAGACTTGTAGATTCTTACGTGCAGGTGGCTCTTTGAACAGTTTGAAGCCACGCCTCTCATGCTGATGGGGGTCAGCAAAGAGGACACAAGCAGGTATACACACCTCCCTGAGGTATGTGGTTTAATGGAAGGATGTTGAGAACCAGGTCATCAGGAAACAAAAACAAATCCCCCGTCCACCCAGGAAGTGAAACCGTTCGGGAATCCAGCACGGCCAGCGGGGCAGGGAGGGTGCCAGAGTCCGCCGGGGCGGGGACGGGAAGTCTGGAAATGGTGTAGACCGGCATCGCTTGCTGGGCAGCAACTCAGGGGAAGATGTGGCGGCTCATCCGTGTCCCCTGCCCGCCGCATAGCACACAGAACGTGTTCAACCAACACATGCTTATCAACTGAAGGTTAGATATCATTGTGCAACAGGTCTGTAAGTTATGCAACACTTAGAAAAAAGAAAAAAAGTAAAGTACAAGTTTTTATTCTTTGTTTTCTTCTGGCATACGATCTGGGGCTTTTACTTCTCTTAAATCAGATTCAATTTTCCAGGGGCCTCTCGATAGATAAGTTAAGTAATCATGGCTGAGTGTGTACTGGGCTCCTGGCTCTGATATTAGGGGCTCTGAGGAAGGAAGGACAATGCACAGACCCAGCTAGGACAAATTTAACATTAATCCATGCTATTTAAAAAAAATTACCAAAAGTCTGATCCCTTGTGGCTTCAGCTTGGAGCCCTAGTCTGAAAAGGGTGTCCCCCTCCTGTCCTAGAGCATGTGTAAGATCAACCTTACTCTGCCATCACGGATGGCCCTGGCGGGGCCCATGGCGGCGGAGGGGGGGGGGTTCTCAAGGGACAAGGGGCGGCGCCTCGCAGGGCCTGCGGTTGCATCAGGTTCTCTGGGGAAGGTGCCGGGAGGGGCCCGCCAGCTGAGTGACTTCTCCCCCGACAAGGCTTGTCCGGCCCAACCTGCAGAAAGGCCACGAAACCAAATAAGATGATGAGTAAACGCTCTGGAAACGCCCCGTGTGGTAGAAATGGAATGTGTATATTTAGCTCAGGTTTTTAAATCTCTGACCACGTACTGTTTGCTCCCTACCAAAGACTACGGGTTCCCGTACGGCAGTCATGTAGCAGAGCGAAGCCGTGCTCACCCCCGGGCCCACCCCCAGAGTGAAGGAATGAATCAGTGTGAACGTCTGCCTGTATAGAGCTCTGTCCACACCCCAGGCCCGCCTGTGTGGGGTTCAGTTGTGTACGGGTTACAGGCTCCTGGACCAGAGGGAGGAACATGGAGACTAAATGCACCTTTCCGTGTTGCCTTCTAGAATGCCAGCCCCGCCCCGCTCTCCGGCGGAGTGACTGATGCCCACGGGTCCCTCGCCTGCTGTAAGTCATTCTTCTCCTGGCTCATTTGATGGACGGAATGGCATCTCATGGTGCCTTGACCTTGTGCTTCCTGGAGTATTTGTAGGGACAAGCATTTTCCCCTTAAGGCTTATTCTTCCCCTGCGTGAACTGCTGTGTGTTATTTAGATCATTTTTCTCCAGGACACCCTCCTATATCAGCACATGCTGTTCTTTCTCAAATGCGATTCCTGGTTCCCATATTTCTCTTCACCTTGAATGCCTCACCCCACCGCCACCACCTTGGGGCTGCTTTCCAACCTGCGTTGAGCTCCGGGCCCCCTCCCTTCTGTTGCCTTCCTGCCAGTCGTGCCTTGTGCCTCCCAGTCAGCCTCCCTAAGTGCTCCCAGGGCCTTGACCCCCATAGCCTAGCACAGAGCCCGACACAGGGCCAAGGCTCAAATGATTAAAAATTACTAAGTGCTTTTTGCAAAATGGGTAAAATGCAATGACATATAAAGAAGGAAGTAAAGCCGACCAGTGACCTCGCCTCCCAGGGACAGCCGTTCCTGGTTTCGGCGTGAGTCCTTCCAGGCTGTTAGAAATGCATGGATATTTGAACTTGGTAGGAATGGTTTCATCTCTCGCTTGTACCGTTCCGTGGCGCACACGTCAGCTCCTTCAGAAGTGCTTTGAATGACTGAGCAGGATTTCACCTTGAGGGTATGTCAGAATTATCTTGACTCGATCAAGGTTTGATTTTAAAAAAAAGAGTGGAAATGTTTCTTACAAGTTTGGAGGAGGGACAGAGCGTTCCTTAAGCATTTTCTTTACATTATTAAGGAAATACCGGTTGAGGTGTCTTTTCCGGCCCCTCCTCATCCCTGCTGTGGGCTGACCACCAAAAGTGCCGCCTCGGCTCTGGGCGCGAGCCTCGCCTCTGCTTACGGCCCTGGCACCTGCTTGTAACTATGTCTTTCTCTCCCTCCCGGGCCTGCTGTTTAACGGTCCAGGTGCCAGGACAAACCTCTTAACAGGCAGGAGAGCTGCGGGAACCATTTCCCTCGCCCCCGACAAAGGGGAGAGCCGTGAAGGGTTTGAACGCCATCTGAGTACTACTACTGGGCACTGAAAACCGGGGTGCGACCCACTGTGGGCCACACCAGGCCCCTGGCTGCCCCCCGACCCCAGGCATTGCCCTAACTCATTGGTGTGATGTTTCTGGCTTGAGCTGCAGGGTCTTCATATAGGGGCCCTAGAAGTTTCCCCGCAGAATGGGATGGAAATGTAAAACCCCACACGTCTTAAGCAAGGTCAGTTGGGTGAAGATAATTTCATCTCACCAGCGCGCTCCTTTGATGGGCTCCTTCGAATGTTCAGAATCTTGTTTGATTCACAAAAGTTACAATATCAACAAAATACATTATTTTTTTTCTAAGAGACTTTTAAAATTATTTAAGTCAGAACTGGAAAACGTGTAACCTGCTTGAGGATTTGGGGGGATTTGGAGGCTTTGTGGCTTGAAGTTTGGTGTCGTTTCATACCAGCTAGAGGGTGAGCTCCCTGAGCTGGTCACCTGCCCCTTTCCTCCGTGTGGCAGGGACGGCGCCTGACATGACAGAGCGCTCAGTGGCCCTGCATTAGAGGAGAAAACACTGAGGCATAAACACGTTCTGGAACATTCCATGGTGACACATCTAGTTAAGTGCTGATCGGCCCAGCAGCAGTAGCGAGGAGCACACTTGCAGGAGGGAGGTGGGCGTGGGCAGCCAGGCCACTCTTTGACACCCGTCCACTGATGTGGCACTGCGTGGCCCCTCACAGATGCCTCTGCATTTGCCGGCGAGGGGGTGGGGGGGTGGTGGCTGCAGAGTGACCCATAGGAACTTTGGAGGCACATTTGACTTTAAAACCTCTGTTAGCTTTATGCCACGGAACCAAACCTGAACACGGCTTACACTAAAGACAGGGGTCAGGAAATCAAACTCCATTCTTATTTTATTATTTTTTAATTTTTTAGGTTTATTTATTTATTTTGAGCAAGACAGAGACAGTGTGACTAGGGGAGGGGCAGAGAGAGAGAGAATCCCAGGTAGGCTCTGTATCATCAGCACAGAGCCCACCGTGGGGCTCAAACTTAGGGAACTGTGAGATCTTGACCTGAGCCGAAACCAAGAGTCGGACGCTTAACCGACTGAGCCGCCCAGGTGCCCCAAACTTCATTTTTAGAAGAAATTGGCAAATTGGGGCACCTGGGTGGTTCAGTCAGTTAAGCATCCGACTTTGGCTCCAGTCGTGATCTCATGGTTTATGAGTTCAAGCCCCGCGTCGGTCTCTGTGCTGACAGCTCAGAGCCTGGAGCCACTTTGGATTCTGTGTCTCCGTCTCTCCCTGCTCCTACCCCCTCCCCACCATCTCTCTTTCAAAAAGAAATAAACATTAAGAAGAAACTGGCAAGTCAACAAAATAAGCTGCTGACAGGGACTCTGTAGTTCCCTCTTAGCCCAGCGTCCAGCATACGCCCGGGAACCGTCCCTCTTTCATGCTGATTTGCTGTGTTTGCCAGTATTTATGGCGGAGCCACCGCACGCTTGTGACCTGTCATTCAGCATCAAGGGTTTATTCAGTGTCTCCTGGGTGCCGGGCTCGAATCTAGGTGATAAGGATTCGCAGACGGACAAAAGGGTAAAAAAAAATCTCTGCCAGGTGTCATCCTAACCTGTGACCTCCTTCACCGTCACATCAGCCCCCAGGGAACCGTGCGTGAGGGCTGGCGCTCCGGAGGGTAAAGGGAGGTTCCCAGGGCCCCCCTCCAGTAAGAGTGGAGAACTGAACAGAGATCGCCTCGCTCTCCTGCCGGAATTCTGACCTTTTGATGAGTGGAGATAAAATGAAGTTTCTCTTCTCCTTGTTAAGTAAACCCGTTCTGATTTTACCTTTCCTCGTCTCTCTAATAGTGTTAAATGCTTTGATTTTTCTGAGTCTGAGGCCAGAATGGCCAGAGCTCCGACCAGAGAGGTCCTCCCCCCGGGAACTGTCTGCTGCTCCTGGGGATGTGCCCTGGCCTCGTCCCCTGGCCCCCGCAGACACCGCTCGGGGACAGAAGGTCCTTGTTTTAAACCGGACTTCGCATGGCAACCCCAGCTGCTAGCCCAGGGCATATTTTGCACACAGTAGGGTATCATTCTTCGTGGTTCTTTGTCATGAAAGACGAACCTTCCAGCAGGTGGAGTGACTCCTCCCTGCAAATTGGGGGGCGGCAAAAGCTGACCCCTGAGGTTGGATCTGCCCACCTTCGTCCTCTCTCGAGGTCACTCGGGTCACAGACTCTGGCTCATTCTGTGACACACACAGGCTGGCACCGAGAGAAATTCGCGATATCATTACTCTCCGTCTCTTGGGTGCCAGCACCTGCTGCCCTCCAGGGAGCGTCCGCTGCTGTTCCCGTAAATCCTCTTGATTGTCCCCGAACACCAGAAGCCATCTCCTCCTCTTCCCCTTCAGCCCCTGACTTCACTTTCTGCGCCCAGGGAGAGCAGATGACGTCCCTCCTGGAGCCCAGGAAATGATCTGTCTCCATCCGTCCCGGTCCCCTCCCGAGCCTCACTCCTCATCACGTGTTTTGGATTCCTCGTCTTTCTGCCCCTGGAGGGACCTGTGTCCTTGAAGCTGACAGCCCCCCTTCCTGTGCTCACCGATTCCCACTCGCTCTCGTGGCTTCGTAGGATGGCGCCTCCAGAGAGAACTGGCCGGGCCCGGGTCGGGGCAGCCGTGTGAGGCGAGCCCAGAACGTGTTGTCACGTGAGAACGCAGGGACGCTGTCAGAGGACCAGGTCGTGGCAGAAGGACTCGGGAGACAATTACAGGCGGCTCCTTCTGGCCAGAACGGGCGAAGGAGGGAGAGCAAGGGCCGCGGGCCGGAGCACAGCCAGGCGCCTGGCGCCAGTGCACGTAACAAAAAGGGCAAGTGGAAGCGAGAGGAAGCCGGCTGGTAACGTTCGAAGCGTGCTAGGTCGGCAGGCACGTTACCCTGAAACTTGGCCAACTAAGGAAGGGCTTCCCTGCCTTTCCAGTAGGCACCGCAGCTCAGAGCCGAGTAACCGACCGGGCAGGCCCGTCCGTAGGGAAGCGCGCCGCCGTTTCACTCCTTCCGTGATTCCCGCTCCCGGTGAATAACCGACTCGGGCAGGGGACGCCCGCTGTCGCACGTGCTGTGCCCCTCGGTGCCCGAATCTGCCCACCGCCAAGTTCAGGAAGGGCAGGGGGCGGAAGGACACGTGAAACCGCATCGCGAAGGGGGAGGCTGCACCGCACGAGTGTGAGAAGCTGCGGGACTGGCAGCCGCCTCTGCACCGGGGACCGACGTGCCGGGGGGGAGACGGGCGCGGGGCCCATCTCCAGGCGGGGAGGCCGGGGGGCACATCAGGACGAGGCGTGTGTGGACTGTTTGGAACCCCACTTAAAAACACACATGACGGGCGCCTGGGGGATTGGTCGGTTGAGCGTCCAACTTCGGCTCAGGTCATGATCCCATGGTTCGTGGGTTCAAGCCCCGCGTCAGGCTCTGTGCTGACAGCTCAGAGCCTGGAGCTGCTTCAGAGTCTGTGACTCCCTCTCTCTCTGACCCTCCCCTGCTCACGCTGCCTCTCTCTCTTCCTCAGAAATAAATAAAACATTAAAAAAAAAAAAAAGACACAACAGTGGGGCGCCTGCCTGGGCAGCTCAGCCAGTTAAGCGTTGACTCTTGATTTAGGCCCAGGTCGTGATATCACTGTTGCTGGGTTCGATCCCCGCCTGGGGCTCTGTACTGGCAGTGTGGGGACTGCTTGGGATTCTCTCCCTCTCTCTGCTCCTTTCTTGCTCTCGCTCTCTCCCTCGCTCTCTCTTTCGCTCTCTCACAATAAATGAATACACTTTAAAAACAAATACAATAGTGAGAACGTAGGACAGGCAGGGAGGTGAGAGCACAGCTGGGTATTTGATGCTGTTTCGGGGATTACCCTTGTCTGCTTGTGTGGTGGCTAAAACCATCTCTTTTAGAC